CTTTAATTCTGTGACTGTAATTTTATTAGCTTCTTGAAGTCTTTATCTATCAACTCCAATATCTGGTCCCACTCAGTCAGTTTCTATTCCTACACTTTTCCCTCAGTATATCTCTTTGCTTTGTATCATGATAATTTGTTGGAAGTTATTTTGAAAATTTATTGTAACAACAAATCTGTTTATTTTTACTACTTTTTAAAAAGTGATTTGCCTGGATTTACACTGTGGAATCTTTCTCACTGCGGTGTGTGGTTACTAATACCTCCACTCATCTTTTAGTTCTAACTTTTATCTTGTAGCTTGGCTTGCTAGAGGTCACCCCTGTGCTTGAATAGCTTAGTAGTCAACTTATGATATAGGCAGAAGTTATGCTCAAATACCACAAGCCCATAAGGCTTCTACCTATGTATAGGTTGGAAAGTGCATTCAAAGCTTCAGTGGGTTCTCAAATATGCCTTGTATTTTACTTTCTGCTAGGCTTATCCAGTGTCCCGTGTGCATGCACGCGGTTTCCCAGTAGGCCAGAGAATTATGGAGAGCTTTCCTAGCCCTGTTATTTCTCTCTTATTTCCAGGGTACTAAGTATTAAATTTCTGGCTAAGACATCCTTTACCATATCTGAGACTGCAACCTCAGGCCCATAAAGGTGCAGGTTTTTCTTATTTCTTTCCTACCAAGTTTAACTATTTTAGGTGACCTATCTATGGGTTTTTCTCTCTCCCTATCCAAACCAAGTCCACCCCCTCTGACAGCAAAGCTGCCATTTTCCCCAGCAAGGCCCATACTGGTCAAACTGCTGTTGCTCTTTCCAACCAAGCTGGGGTGAATGGAGAGGTGGAGGCTGGGGGAGGGGAGGGAGAGGAGGTTTCAGGGAGAAAGGCCTCAGAAGACCTCATACTCTGTTGGTCTTACTGAAACTATAGCAGTTTTTTCAGGAATAAATGCTTCTCAATGCTTCTGGTTGATTTCCAGAGTCCTGAAATGAGTATTTTGACAATTTTATGCAGAGGATTCAGTGGCCATTGCATGCTGCCATACCCACTGGTAGCATATAATTTTGAAAGAACAGAAAACCATATGCTCCAGATCCTTTGTCTTTAATAAAAGGATACACTAGACATTCCTCGAAGCCCCCTTCTAAGCCTATGATTTCACAATAACCTCCCCTGACTAAAAAGAGAAGGGAAGTGGCCCAGGCAATTTTGTATCTGAGACTGTTTCCATTTATTTTTTTATTTTTTTTTTAAAGATTTTATTTATTTGTGAGAGAGAGAATGAGAGACAGAGAACATGAGAGGGAGGAGGGTCAGAGGGAGAAGCAGACCCCCTGCCGAGCAGGGAGCCCGATGTGGGACTCGATCCCGGGACTCCAGGATCATGACCTGAGCCGAAGGCAGTCGCTTAACCAACTGAGCCACCCAGGCACCCTGAGACTGTTTCCAAAAGCCCACTCTATCTCTAACTCTTCAGGAATCTTGGTTTTGTATCTCTTTGCCTCATATGTGTTTTTCAGTATGAAAACACACACTATATGGATCACTGTTCAAGCATTATAAATGGGGAATAATTTCTAAATTATAGCAAACTCTCTAAAAGAGGCTTAAGAATTAGAAGATATAGTCGTATCTGTTGGGGAGGATACAGTTTATGCATATTTTACAATTTTGGAAAGATTTAAAATTTATTATGTGAATTAGATAAATCAAGAGTTTTGAAGTCTGGGAAATGACAATTTTTTTCATTTTTAAATTATCTTCAAAGGATATTTGCTTAAAGAGTATTTTCCTTCTTTCTTTTCTCTTTATCATTTTCTTTACTAGCATATTCTTCCCTTAGTGAAGGCTGCTATAAAAATCTAACACTGCATTATTAACAGTAATAAGTCATTCCCCTTATACACCGACAGTTTTAATTAACTTTCCTTTTCTAGAAGTGAAACACTATGAGAGAGAGCAAGAGAAAATAACTTGCTTCTCTGTCATCCCATAACACAACACATAGGCTTAAGATGGGTAAGACCTCTCAAGGTTTTAAAAGATGGATAAGTACTCTTAACTGGTACGAAGAAAGGTTTCTCATATATTTCTTATTATGAAAAGTCTCTTTTTATTCTCCCTTATGGTCCTCAAGATGCAGAAATGGATTCTGCCTTTCTCGATAATGCAAACACTTTCTTTGCCTTGTTCAAGTTATTTCCTACAGTGCTATTTGTCATGTTCAGTTTTCTATATTGCTATGATAGCATTTGCTACTGGTTAGTAAATATGACAACATATTTATTCTTACAACATCAGAACATTCACTGACCTGATTCTTAAAAACTACCAAAAATAGTGCGGAGGATTCCCTTCTCCAAACCACGGTATAGTGGTTTGGAGCACAAACCATCCCTGGTAAACACTATCTCAGACAACAACAACCCCGAGATTATATGCTTATTGAGATACTAAATTGAAGCTTAATAGTGTTTAGTCACTCATCTTTTTTTTTAAAGAAAGTCTTTTTTTTTTTTTTTTAAAGATTTTATTTATTTATTTGAGAGAGAGAGAATGAGAGACAGAGAGCACGAGAGGGAAGAGGGCAGAGGGAGAAGCAGACCCCCTGCTGAGCAGGGAGCCCGACGCGGGACTCGATCCCAGGACCCTGGGATCATGACCTGAGCCAAAGGCAGTCGCTTAACTGACTGAGCCACCCAGGCGCCCAGTCACTCATCTTAATAGTAACCAAAGAGGAGTAAGCCCAATAAAAAGGTAACCAGTGGACAGTGTAAAAACCTAGGACAGTATAGAATTACATACACTTGGCATATATACAGCAGGAAATATTAGGTTATTCCTGTATATTTCTAGATGGCATTTAATAGTTTTTAAATGCCATCAATTTTTTAACTCAAAAATAGAGGGGAAAAAAGAGCAGCTTTTCCCTGGTACTATATTCAAGGACAATGGTCAAACACCATTTCGTTTTCTAGAGGTTTCTGTCTTCCATCTTCCTGCTGTACATGGTATAGGATCAACCCTCCAGACAAAAAGATCTGTTAAGGATGCCCCCCTGGGGCCTGTCCACATAGTTCTTAAGATTGTTTCCAGAAGAATATGTGAAGGGAATGAAGTAGGATCTTTAAGTGAGAAGAAAATCCCCCTCTCTCCCTCTAAGGTAGGTATAAAAACATTGTTCTCACCTGATGGAAGAGAGGGCTGTGTGTCACAGGGATTCCCAACCCACTAAAGCACATTCCTAGGACCATATCGTCGGGGGCATCATTGCTGTAGCAGCGACATTTACTGGCGAGAAGTCTCCTGATTGCTTCTCTGCTGAAGACCATTCTAGTGGGAAGCCAGAGCAGACAGAGAAAGGGGTTAGGGCAGCAGCTCCTCGAGATCTTTAATCTAAATAAAGAAATATAATTCAGAGGCCACATTCTTGATAAAGATGTTGACATCAGCAGTGTTTCATATTTCATAGTTATTCTGGGGGAAATGTTTTGTGCTTTCTATGAAAGGAAAATTTACTTCGAAGAAGTGTTTACCTATCTAATAGGCAATTTTATTTCTTTATATCGTTCTTGCAAATGAATACTATACAATGTTCTTTTCCTAATATGCCAATGGAAAATTAGAATAGTTCTTTAGTTTTAACACGCTCAGTGAGGTCCATAACAAAACCCACCAACATTCCCAGCAAGTAGATGGGCCCAGGTACCTCCCTCATACAGGTGATGACCGACAGTGAGATCAAGTCTAACTGAAACAACCTTGCATTCACTGTCCAAGTGATTCCAGTCTGTGGACGCTTCTTTAAGGTGATTTTGGGAAAGAGGAGAGAGGGAGAGGGAGGTTGACTTTCCTCAAACAGCGCTATGATGCTACTTGGCCTGGTATGTTGGGTACTTTCTGGTGGAACTCATGCCCAGTCCTGCCGTTCTGTGCCCTCAGATTTGCAGGAGGCTGGGAACTGTGAAACAATATCTTCCAGACTCCCTTGCCAGCAAAGACCTGGCTTCGATCTGTCCCTGGGGGCACAACACTGGGGGAGGCCATTGGCTTTTGGCGCTTGCAGTCTCTGTGGCAGAGGCAGGTGATGCTGGGCAGCCCCAGGCTCCAGGGCCAGAACCACAGCAGCAATGGGGAGCCAGTGCTGGGACTGGGTCAGATGCTGTGCTGAGACCCAACCGCAAGAGCATCCACCGCAACCGACAAGGACGGGCTCCAGAACACAGCCTTTGCCTTGCTCTTCCAGCCTTTGGGGCAGTACCAGCTTTCCGTAGTTACTGAGCTCTCAGGAGAGCCACCTGCCCCCTTTTATCCCTCTGGCCCTTTCCAACCCTTTCACACCAAGTTCCTGCAATACATCCTCCTCTTTTTGAAATACAGATTGGTCCTAAAATATAGGGCCACTCTGGCCCTACGGTAGTAATGGATCTTCTCATAGTATGAATAATCTAATAGCTGATAGGGCTGAAGGGACTAATACGGTTCACAAATTCATTCCCAATAAGCAACGACTTCCTTGAAGGCAAAACTGTCTATCCCTTATCCACATATTCCCAGAGCCAAATGCAGGGCCTTGCACACAGTAAGCACTCAACAGAATTTGATGCATCAAACAAGTGAGTATAAGGCTGCCTTTACAAAGATCTTCCTCCTGGGGGAGGGGAAGGAGTTCTATGAATCAGTCTAGTGGGAAGGAAAAAAGGACAAAGACCTTGAATACGATCCCTGAGGTGAAATGTTGATTCCATACTCAGCTGGGGGCTCAGTTCAGTGTAGTTTAATACCAGTGACCAAGCCCTGGTGATGTAACATACACACAGGGCACTGTCCCCACCAAGATGCCAGAGGACACGGTGAAACAAGACCAGACAAGAGGAAAAGCAGCTCTTTATTTAAGCTGATACAAGAAAATAGGACTGTACCAGAGGAAGAAACATGGTTCTCATGAACTCTACCAAAAGGAAAACGGCACATTTGAAAACTCACCAGCAATCCTCTTTCTCTCAGAGTCCAGTGCCCACCAGGGGCTGGGATAGCACCTTCGTCCTGAGTCAAACCCCTGCTCATCTACCCGACCCCAGGAAAAGGGCCTATGTAAGGGGACATGCACCTGCTGGAGACAGACACTTTCCTTAAAACATCTATCTGAAGCCACGTCAAGGGGAATTTCCTAAGTAAGTGTACTGCAGTTGACCTTGAACAATGCAGTGGTGAGGGGCCAGCCCCGTGTGCAGTTTAAAATCTGATCCTACTTTCGACTCCCCTAAAAGTTACCTACTGATAGCCTACTATTGGCCTTACTGATAACATAAATAGTCAATTAATACATTGTGTGTTATATGTCTTATAAACTGTATTACAATAAAGTAAGCTATGGAAAAGAAAATGTTATTAAGAAAATCATAAGGAAGAGAAAATACATTTACAGTATTATACTGTATTTATGAAAAAAAAATCCGCATATAAGTGAAACTGCCCAATTCAAACCCATGTTGTTCAAGATCCAACTGTACTTGTATTCCAATCAGAACTGTAATCTTCTTTATCTTAAGCCCAATTTAATTATATCAAACACTTTATTTTTTTCTTTTGTCAGCACCTAATAGAATGAAAAAGAAAAGGAAGGCCCACTCTTTTATCCTGGCCCACTCTCTGAAAAGTTAACCTTACAGGAAGATAAAATGTAAGCATAAAATCTTTATTAGTAATTTTTTTTCTATTTTTCCCTACTCACACAGAACAGTCTTACATTAATTATTCACACAAACTAAGTATACACGAGCCTTTAATAACACTTGCTTATTAGTATGCTGATGGGTTGTTTCAAAATGAAGAGTTCCCCCAAAATGGAAAAGTACTGGACATATCATGGTATGTCTGCTCTGCCTGCCAACTTTTAAATATTAAAAAGATGTTGAGAGGCTGTAAGACTAATAATGTGATTTCTTTTAATATACAATATACTAATTTTAAGCAGAAGAAAAACTGAAACGGGGGGCAGGGGCCTGCCCAAGGCCATGCACGTGCAGATCAAGAGCACATACAGAAGGTGAAGGGCATCAGAAATGCACCTGCCTCTCCCGGGCTTCCAGCAGATGAACTGGTCAGGGCTGTCTCTGGGTAACATTGTCCTCAGCCCCTTCAAGGAGGCTGCCAAAGAGAATGAGGACATCCTGATCATAGCTTCCTACTCAGACATAGGAGTAAGCAATGAAATGAACACCAGACATTTGCATTCAAGAAAATGCAAAAGTCTCATTTTCCAAACAATACAGAATATCTACACAAAAATCACTGTGGAGTCTACACTCCCGATTCAGCTCTGCTTCGTGGGGCTGAGGGGAGATGGTTGAAGGCAAGGCTTTACAAAAACTTAACTTGACCATAAACCACAGTGAGAACACAAGAAACACATTTCGTACTACAACCATTTATATGCATTGTATGTGTGTATAAAACTGAAACAAAATTTCACAAAACAACACACACCCTTACTACATGTGATACACTATGATATTTCTGTTTTATTCTATTCCATTTTATATTTCATTATTTTTAAATGATGGTTATGATCCATTCATTGGTTTTATAAGCCATTAATTGATCCTGACTTGCTGTTTACAAAAAAACCATATTGGTTCTTAAGCTGGATCATCAGAAAAGTCTACCGAGAAATCATTTAACATGATGTCTGCAGCTTTCTTCAAAGGTTGATATGAGACAATCTCATGATGAATGTTTCTGCCTCTTTGTAAAAGTGCTATGAAAGGGCGCCTGGGTGGCTCAGATGGTTAAGCGTCTGCCTTCGGCTCAGGTCATGATCCCGGGGTCCTGGGATCCAGCCCCGCATCGGGCTCCCTGTTCGGCGGGAAGCCTGCTTCTCCCTCTGTTTCTCTCTCTCTCTCTCTCTCTCTCTCTGTCTATCATGAATAAATAAATAAAATCTTTAAAAAAAAAAAAGTGCTATGAAAAACAGAATATTACAATGGTCGTTAGCTATACAAAGACCAAGGCTCAGTGTTCATGCATTTGTTTATTCACTTATTCATTGTACCTTGTAAAAAATGAGTCCCTATGCTAGGAAGTGAGGATATAATGAGAAATGAGATACAGGTGCTGCTTTCAAATAATTCATAATTTAGGTGGAAAACAGAAAGGTAAATAGGCAATTAAATGATAATGGTTTGCATAATATGCTATGAAAGTACATTTGAAAGGCATCAAACCCAGATTTGAGAGGCCAGACTAGGCCAAAGGCTTCCAGGAATAACTAATAGCTATACTGTTTCCAAAAAAAAAAAAAAAAAAGAGAAGGATGAGCCCAGTGACAAAGACAGAAAGTTGGGGAGGGGACACAGTGCTATGTAGAGACCAGCAGATGCCAATCTTGGGGAAGAGGAAAGAAGAAATGCCTCTGAGGAATTGAAATAAGATGAGGGTGCAGATGAATGAAGCTATAAAAGTAAAACAGCATCTGCCAAGGTCATGAGAGGCCTGGTAAGTCTTAATGAGTAATTTGGACTTTATTCTAAAGGTAACAGGAGGTTGTAAAAGAATGCAAAGACTTTCACTTGCCATGGTAATAAAAAAAATCCAAATAAAATTAAAATCACATTAACCTATGGAATTGTTGAAGACATGGATGATATGAAACCCAGAAGAACTAATTTCTAGAGAGAGGAATCCTTCCCATGTGGGTAGCAAGATGTGGCAGCTTTCAGGGACAAGTTGGGTCAGAGAGCAGGAGGAAGGAGACAAGACCCACTAGAGAAATCAGCAGCACCCAGAGAGGCTGTGGACCCGGCAAACCAGCAGTGATTAAAATGAGGCCTAATCCCAGACCAGCATGACTCCTGTAGGAATGTGAAAGACTATCTCAGATGCCAAAGGTAGGAAAGAGTTCATGCTCTTGTGGAAGAATAAAAGCAATGGAGGCGAGTGAAAGCCTCTGAGCAGGAGGGCCACAGGATCAGACGTGGTTGTAGAAAGGTCTCTGTGGCTACAGTGTGGTCGACAGCAAGGAGCGGAGGAGACGAGCTGTGGCAGGAGCACACGTGTAAGAGGTGGGGTGACCTCGACTAGCCCTGGGGAGGTGGAGACAGAGGTGGTATTTATGAGACAAAACTGACTGGGTTGACTTCAGGGTCCTGGGGAATGAGGGAGAGAAAGGGTAAAGCAGAGTCACAAGTCTGTGGGGCGGGAACTCGTGATTCCCTGAGGCAAGACTACTTGAAAAACAGTAAAGCAGGGGCCAGGGGCCAGAGTCAGAGGATGAGGTCAGGATGGCAGTGCTGGGTCTTGTCACCCCAGTTGACATGGCCTCGAGGTCAGGAAAGAGCTGTAGGCTGGGGATAGAGGTTTGGGTGCTTTGAGCTTAGTCATAGGGGTGGATAAGATCACCAAGGAGAATACAGAGTGAGAAGAGAAGGAACACCAGAAAAGATGCCTGGAAAACACAGCCATTTAAGGGACAGGAAAAAGGACCTGGGAAGGAATGATCAGAAAGGCAGGAATACACAAGGATATGACACTGTTCTGGAAAGCAAGAGAAAGAAGCCTTTCAAGGAGTGGTGGTCACCTTTGTCAAAGGCGGCCAAGAGGTTAAACAAAAGAGAGTTTGGAATCACGCCACTGGATGTGGCTACGTGGACATGGTCACAGTCCTCAGCAAGGTGGTTTAGGTTGAAGGCCAAGCACAGGGGTCAGATGGAAGTGGGGAAGCAGAGATCATGAATTGTGGATTCTGAAGATGATTTCAAGGGGAGAAGAGGGAGGGTGTGGTGGCAGGAAGGAGTTTTGTTTTTTGGGGTTTTTTTTATAGATTTTATTTATTTATTTGACAGAGAGAGACAGAGAGAGAGGGAACACAAGCAGGGGGAGTAGGAGAGGGAGAAGCAGCCTCCCTGCTGAGCAGGGAGCCTGATGCGGGGCTCGATCCCAGGACCCTGGGATCATGACCTGAGCCGAAGGCAGACGCTTAACCAACTGAGCCACCCAGGCGCCCGGCAGGAAGGAGTTTTAAGATGGGAAAACTGGAGGTGGCAGGAAGTCCACAGTAGCAAGGTAGAAGTTGAACATATAAGAGGTTAAAGGTGCTATCTTGGTGGTTACAGTGCCCACCATGGGCCTGGGAAAGGGAGCAGTGACACTCATGCAGTGTATCTGTCAATCTGGCACTAGCCTGTGAGCGCCTGGAGGGAAGGAACTGTGGTCTTTGCATCCCCCATGCCCGCACCCGCTAGGCTCCTGGAGCGAATGAGCAACCAGCTGGAGCGATGAAAGGCAATGCTGGCTGGGTGCTGTCAAGTGGCATTTCAGGCTTCAAGGGCCAGTCTCAGACCTAAAAGTGAAATCCAACAGGCAAGGAAGACAACAAAATAGTTTTCTTGACAAAAAATCACTTCTATGTTCAAAGTATATCCACACCTATGTGCTACAAAATACACAAACCCATATTCAAATAACAGGACCCCTTTCAAAGGTAGGAAGTTCTTACTCAACAGATACCATGCCCAGATCCTTAACCAGACCCAGTACCTCACCCACTGAAAACTAAATGCATTACCATAAGGCTGCACATAGCTTGAGTTTCTTTTTTCTTTTCTTTTCTTTTTTTTTTTAAATGAAGAGACCAATACTCCTTGGCCTTCCCTTTAGTGTCTTTTTGAAGGCCTACCTGCATCTGCATCTCCTATTGGTAATGACCTCAGGAAGACACACGGCCACTGCTCAAGAAAGATCAGTACTCATGCCCAGGCTCAGTTATCACTATGAAAGAGTCATGTCCATAGTCATGTTATATTAACCACTGAATCAGCTAGACCAAGCCAGAACCCCTGGAATGTGATTCTTGAGGTCCTGCAGTAGGAACCATTCTGATCTAGGGGACTACAAAGTAAGAATATAAAGTCCTGACCCTTCAGAGGTTTAGAAACCAGTGCCAAGAATGTTGCTTAGCACATGGTGGACATTCAGCAAATACCTGTTGGAATGACTTTAAATCACTATAGTTTATACCAAGTTAAGATTTTCCCTACATACCCCAATAGCAAAGACTACAGAAATAATAGAAAGATTAATTGCTCAATTGATTTACCCATATAAATCAAATCAAAATCTTTCCCCACAAGAGATTAGGCGGATACTTCATTTAAAAACATTGACTTTTCACTGTTATTTAAAACCTATAAATCCTACACAAATATCACTTAATTGCTTAAGTCTAAACTTCTATACTAATCTCCGAAATGTGATTTATTAGCACTAGATAATTTAGAAGTCCAATGACTTATTTTCTGACAATAAAATCTATATCCAAATTTCTTTTTTCATTTAACCAATCAAAACTAATTGGCTACCTAGAAACAATTATTCCTATAGGGACATTTCTACCAAATACTTTGACAACGATTTATATTTCTTCATGGGGTAAAATATTCTTTAGCGTGGATTCTTTTCCTATTTAGCAAATTTAATATTCACTTTCCTGTTATAGAAACGGCTGCCATTTACAGAGCACTTAGATATCAGGATAGGCCCCACCGCCACAGACCGAGCCCTGTATCATGGAAACCGAAGTTAATGCTGAGAGTATGTGCAGAAAGCCATGCTCATAGTTACCCTCCTCCTCCCGTGATGTAGCTGTAGCCGCCAGTGCCCAGGCCGTAGCCGTACCGCTCTCCCAGAAACACTGGTTCGCTGGAGTCATAACAGCTAAGCAAGTGCTGGAGCCTGGAGATGCTAAAATTCCAAAGGGAACATAAGCAATAATGACTTAAACTCAAAAGTGTGTTCACGGTAAACAGTTTATGATTCTTACATCCCACTGGTCATACTATGTAGTTATATGTATATACGTATAATTATAGTATAATAACAACATGAAATCATTTAGAGATGAAATTCAAGTGATTTACAGAAGAAATGCATTTTTTCAGAAAAAGAAAAAAAAAATCAGTGGACACTGTATATTCCTGGAAACAGGAGAGAGACTAAAAAACCAGGGGCTTACTCCCCAGTTTTAGTAAGCCACTGCCAGAACATGGCTGCCTAGATTGGGTGAATAGGGTGGCAGGTTAATGAAGTACAGGTGGCCCATGTACCATTTAGCTCACTTCTTCCAGTCCTGTTTCTCAGTAAGTGTGAACTGTCTAATCTTTTCAGGTGTACTTGGTGTAGGAGTGCTGACAACACCGACTCCATCTTTGGTCCTCTAGCACACAGGTGGCACCACTTTAGATAACTACCCTGTGACGGCACCACCACACCCCTGGCGCCATAAAAGCTGGGGATTAAGGTCTGGAGAGTGGCAAAGAATTGCTGCATATTACCGTCCTGACCAACCAACCAACCAACCAACCAACCAACCAACCAACCAACCAACCGTAAGTTGTCCTGAGTAAAACTGCGTAAACAGGATGGAGTGGCTTGCTTCCATTTTCGGTATTAAAGTGCCTTCTCAGTCTGGAGGATACATGACTGACCCTCCTCCACCTCCTAACACTTGGCGTAGTGGGCAGGATACCGAAAATCAAACAAGCCATGGGTTAACGGGCTATGACGGGGGGGAGCCTGTTGTCCGTGGGGGAAATCCCAAGCTGGCTAGCCACCACCCTGTGGGGAGACTCGGCCAGGACTTTTGAGCATTTCAGACCAGTGTGTGAGTACAGGGATGCCCTAAAAACACCTATCTGAAATGGTGGAGAAGCAAAAGGGCTCAGAAAGGGTGGCAGCTTGGGGGTTATGACTGTGGGATACTGGAGAACATGGTGTTATGGTAAATGGATTCGAGACATCAAAAATGGCCTCAGCCACAGCTCAACCTGCCTTGTGACAAAGACTATATACTGCAGGCATGGGTGAGCACTGCAGGCACTTAGCTAATCTGACTGATTGGATACATGCTAGCATTAAGAAAACCTGGCTTACTGAGGAGGCTGTTCCCTCCCCTCCGTTGCACGGGACCTCTATGGAAGAACTGGGGATGAAAACAGGCCATTTACACCCAGCATTTTGGTGGCCCAAATGAAGAATTACATTCCTCTTGTACGAATGTGCACATCTCACGGTCAGCGCCAGGGGCAGGGTATGGGACTTTAGCATCCGCTCTCGTCCTTGGGGTTAAACGTCCCATTGCTATAGTAGGTGCTATAATGGCAGACTTACATGAAACCGAAAGGGAAACAGATGGAAAAGCAGGGAAAAATAAAGGATCCTCCTAATGATAAAATGGTGGAAAGGGGGCCTATCAAGAGCTCATAAACAATGGTAACAAGATCTAATATTATCTGGGACCCCCAGAGAAAATACAAACAACCCATTTCAGTCTTGCTAAGCCTCTAGAAGGCATTGCCTAAGGGAAAGCAGTTTACTTCCCTAAAGGAAGGCTCTAAAAAGCCAGGGGTGTTGCCAAGTGCCCCCCTGTTACTGGCAGAATTTCAGGGGTGGATACCACCTACCCCCCCGAGACTAGGAGGTAGGCCAGGGTTGCCCTCTCATGTGTGCAATAGGGGGCAACCGGAGGCCCCAGGTGGAATTAACCATTTATTGGTCTTGTACTAAGAGTCACTGGCTGAATGCACACTTATCTATGGAAAGATAAGTATAAGCATTAGGGATATTAATGCCAAAGGTGAGTTGTGAATTGGATGTAAGTTCACATCCAGAAGGATTTGGCTGGGGCTTGTGGCAACAACAAAATGGGAAATCAATTATAGTTATTTGTGTAAGTTCAATAAGAACGTGTTCTTGTAATGGAACATTGGAAACCGTGGTTATATTACCAAGGCTATGACTGGAAGGTCCTATTTGAGAGAGACCTGCATAGATTCTGATAGGGCCAGTTTTAAGGTGCTAAGATTGACTTTATGGAGCCAAGGGAGCCCCCCTTGAAAAAATTAATTCAACCTGGTCCCTGTTTACAGGGTTCCTGGGAGCCTTGACCAGGTAAGGAGGGTCACTTCCTGGCAGTCTCAGGAACCACAGGATATTTTGGGGGGAACCTCAAGAAGAGTGGAAGTAACCCAAACTAAAGGTATTGCAGGCAAGTCTGATGGCAAGTATTTGGCTTGGCTTCTGGCCTCCAAAGGCTGTTAAAAGCTCAATATGAAATTCCTTATGAGAAGTTCCAACAAAGCAGCTTTAGAACATAAATGGCCAGTCACTATTCTTACTGCATTTATGTAGATAGGCCCAAATAATAATAATTAGGCCGAGTTTGTTAAAATTGGACTTGTTTTACAAACAATCTTTTTTTTTTTTTGGCAGTAAGGGAGGGGGAAACTAAGTGGGGCAGAAGCAGAGGCAGAGGGAGAGAGAATCTCAAGCAGACACCATGCAGGACTTGGAGCCTAATGGGGCTTGATTTCATGACCCTGAGATCATAACCTGAGTCAAAATCAGGAGTCTGATGCTTAACCAACTGAGCCACCTAGGCGCCCCCACAAACAACTTAATTTGGCTACCTTTGATAGAAATGAGGGTGATTTTAGAGAGGAAAAAGTTGATTTGGTGATATATCTTTATGGGTGTTAGATTCTAGTTCTGATTATCTTTGAATGTTGTTTCCCTCTAAAACTAGGCTGGACCCTGAATTCTTTTGGTTTTCTTGCATATATGGCTAATTTTCTACCTGACTGCTTGCACACTATAGGCCTGACTTTGAAAGCCCACCAGCAAGACCACGTCCTGAAATGGGACCACGGTTCAAATGAACTGACCTAATTGGCCTTGTTTTATAAAATGTAGACTAAAATGCTAAGACTATATGCAAGACTTCCAAAGTAATGGCTATATAAAGATGGGGGCTCAACTTAGTACTACAGAATCTCTGCAATTGGTTGAAAGGCAGTTTCATTCCTTAACTCCTGACCTGCACCCCTCTTCAGCAGGAAGTAGTTAGACTGATCATTGCCCCTACCCCTCAAGAATGCGGAATACTGAAAAACCAGGAGTGGTACTGGTTAAGCTCCTGTTGCTATTTGTATTCCTGCTGCGGCACCAGGATGGTATCTGGTACGAGGATAAAGATTATATGGGCCATAAAGACGTCGGCAGGGGGGTGCAGCGTGGAGTGTAGGAGTGCTGACAACATTGACTCCACCTGTGGGACTTCTTGTTCTCGCTTCTGGTGCACAGGTGGTGCCCCTTAAGATAACTAGCCCCGTGCCCTCCCCACCAGGCCCCTCACTCCGTAAGAGCTGGTGAAAGGGCTGGATAGAGGCCTCGAATAGGGGCGGAGACTAAGTGTATTACAACCGGGATCGTCTGTAAGCCCACCCAGCCGCCCGTCAGTAAGTTACCCTGAATAAAACTCTGTGAACGGTATGGAGGGGCTTGCTTCATTTTTTGGTATTAAAAGGACTTCTCAGTCTGGAGGAGACCTTACTGACCCTCTGCCACTTCCTAACACTTGGTATATTTTCATTTTTAATGGCCCCCAAATGGATTTTTTTTTTTTTTAAGATTTAGAGATCGAACACGTGAGGGGAGTGGGGGGCTGGGCAGAGGGAGAAAGAAACTTTAGCAGACTCTGCAATGAGCAGGCATAGCCCAGTGCAGGGCTCAGTCCCACAACCCTAAGATCTCAACCTGAGCTGGAACCAAGAGCTGGATGCTTAACCGACTGCACTACCCAGGTGCTCCCCCCCCACAATAATGGAATGTTTGAGGTACAAATGAGGTCCATGTCAGGCACATGGCTGGCGGGTGGGGAAAGGGAATTTGGGCAGTGAGGCTTTCCAGGAAACCTTCCAATTATGGTGCACAACCATGAATATGTTTCCCCCGAGTAAGGCCACATGAGTTGTCTTTTTATGTCTATTTATACCTCTGGCAACTGTACCTCTTTGTACAAGTCAACAAAATAGCTTACAAAGGGCAATGAGAATATCTAGGAACCGATTAGAGAAATGCCTGCAATGATAGCTGCCATAAGGATGAAGGAAGAAAAACTTTGTAGGAAAATAAAATCTAGAAATAGCTTTTTAAAGGTGAGACAAAGGTTGATATTGAGAAGGGCTAGCTTTTCCGTGTTTGAAGAACTTACACCACTTACAGATACTTTTATAAAGTCCTTCCACTGTATGTTCTAACTAGAGCTGGCCAGGTCACACTCCACCAAATCCCCAGTTCTCTCATGACTTTAATCAGTGTTTCCTGAAAAGAGTTGTTCCGTGGTCAATTTCGGATTTTTTTTTAATTGGCTAAATAAATTTCAATGTTTCTCAAGCCTGACGAGCATCGTGCATGTCCAAGAGGTGGATATATCCAGTATTTCTCTAAATTACTAATCATAAGTTCTTAGAAGTATTAACATCTAAAAGACTAGTGCTCTAGAATTTCATTTTTCTTCTTTTGGGGGATAGGTAGGGTCTTAAGAAGTCAAAATGGAAATGCATGAAGTAGAGAGGAGGACACCTTTCCAATCCATGCTCCTGCATTTTACACAAACAGCCCAGCTAATAAGCCTAAAGCTGAAAGTGAAGAAAATAAATTTAACGTGTGAAAAAAATTGCTTAAAAATGTGCTAAAAATTCACAAGTTTGCTAATCGTGTTTATATCTGCCTGGAGGTCAAGGCCACTGACAATGTTGACAGTTTCTCAGTGGTCAGAATACATTATCTTGGAAACTTTCATGTTTGGGGCACACGAGGTAAACATTCTAGGCACCTAGTTTGGAATCTGTCTTCAGGAAGTCAGCTGATAACTCTGCAGGGGAAGGTGAGGAAGTTTGCAGATACCTAGTAAGACACCATTCAGTTATGGAGAATATACTCAAAGATCTCTAAGGACACTGTGGTCTTCAGCTGGTAAAAGTCTTGTGTATTAAAAAAAAAAAAAAAAACCCGCAAAAAAACAAACAAAAACCCTCAAAGACCTCTGGGGCAAATTTACATCTACTTCTTGACCTGAGAAGAAATGAAAAGTATTTCTCTTGCTCCTGCATATTGTAAAAATGTCAATTCAACCTTCAACTTATAATTTCTGAGGTTAAAATAACTGGGATTTAACATCTCATCTGGGTTTCTTTTCCTTTTAACATCAACCATTTCCCTACTCATGGTATCATTTTAAAGCTAAAGAATCATAAACTGAGTCTGACAACTATCATGTACTTCATTTTGGTAAAAACTAGAAATGTGGATAAAGCAAATGAATCTCCAATTCTGTCCAAGCGGATTGGCTGTTCATCCAGGAAAGGAACTTTTATTTAACAATATGTTACCATATCAAGCAATTTTGAGGCACAGAAATGAAGAAAAACAGTATGGCAACAGTTAAGATGACATGCTATCAAAATCATACTAACAGAGCTTAGTGTTGCATAGATCTTTTCTAACAGCATAATACTGATTTGTGTGTGTGTATGTAAAGGACACATAATGTTACCTAAGTTACAGGTGTACAACTTAGTGATTTGACAAGTTTATATGCAATGTTATGCTCACCACAAGTATAACTACCATCTGTCCCTTTACATCGCTAACCACAGTATCATGGATGGTATTCCTTACGTTCTGCTTTTTATTCCCATGGCTCACTCATTTCATAACTGGAGGTCTGTATCTCCCCTCCCCTTCACATATTTTGCCCAATCTCCCACTCCCCTTCTCTCTGGCAATCATCAGTTCTTTATATTTATAGGTCTGATTTATTTTTATTTTTTTACATTCTGTTTATTAGTGGAATCATAATTGAGACTGAGAAAGACAAATATTTTATTTCACTTAATACCCTCCAGGTCCATCCATGTTGTCACAAATGGCAAGATCTTTCTTTTATAGCTAATATTCCATTCTCTCTATATATACCACATCTTTATCCATTTATCTATCAATGGACACTTGGGCTGCATCCATGTCTTGCCTATTGTAAATAATGCTGCAGTAAACACGGGTGCATATATCTTTTCAAACTGGTGTTTTCCTTTTCCCTGTGTAATCCCCCAATAATGGAATTATTGGATCATATGGTATTTCTACTTTTGACTTTTTGAAGAACCTCCATTCTGTTTTCCACAATGGCCGCACCAGTTTGCGTTAGCACTAGCAGCACAAAAGTGTTCCTTTTTCTCTACATCCTTGCCAACTCTTGTTGTTTCTTGCATTTGATTTTTGCCATTCTGACAGGTGTGGTTTTGATTTTGCACTTCCCTCAAAATTACTGATATTGAGCATCTTTTCATGTGCCTGTTGGCCATCTTTATGTCTTCTTTGGAGAAATGTCTATCCAGGTGCTCTGTCCATTTTTTAATCAGATTTTTTGGTGTTGTAGGACTTCTTTACATATTTTGGATATTAACCCCTTATTGGATATATCACTTGCAAATATCTTCTCCCATTCAGTAAGTTGTCTTTTTGCTTTGTTGATGGTTTCCTTCACTGTGCAAAAACCTTTCATTTTGATGTAGTCTCATACTTAATTTCTGTTTTGTCTTAGGAGACATACCTAGAAAAATGTTGCTATGGCCGATGTCAGAGAAATTATTGCTTAAGCGCTCTCCTCGGATTTTTATGGTTTCAGGTTTCCTATTTAGGTCTCCATTTTGAGTTTATTTTTGTGTATGGTGTTAGAAAACAGTCCACTTTTCTTGTTTTACATGTTGCTGTCCAGTTTTCCCAGCACCATTTATTGAAAACATTGACTTTTGCCCATTGTATATTCTTGCCTCCTTTTTCATAGATTAACTATATTAATGTGGGCTTATTTCTGGGGTCTCTATCCTGTTCCACTGATCTATGTGTCTGTCTTTATGCCAATACCATATGGTTTCGATTACTACAACTTTGTAGTCTATCTTGAAACCTGGGATTGTGATACCTCCAGGTTTGTTCTTTTTTTATCAACAATGCTTTGGCTATTTGGGGTCTTCTGTGGTTCCCTATGAATTTTAGGATTATTCTAATTTTAAGAAAAATACTGTTGATATTTTGACACGGATTGTGTTGAATCTGTAGACTGCTTTGGGTAATAGGACATTTTGACAATATTCTTCCAACCCATGAGGATGGAATATCTTTCCATTTGTTTGTGTCTCCTTCAATTTCTTTCATCAGTGTTTTATAGTTTTCAGAGTACAAGTCTTTCACCTCTTTAAGTTCATTCCTAGGTATTTTATTCTTTTTGGTGCAACTGCAAATGGTGTGTTCTTAATTTCTCTTTCTGTGACTTTGTTGCTAGTGTATAGAAACACTACTGATTTCTGGATATTAATTTTGAATCTTGCAACTTTAGTGAATTCATTTATTCTAGTAGTTTTTTGGTGGAATCTTTAAGGTTTTCTATGTATATCATGTCATCTAAAAGATGACAGTTGGACTTCTTTACCAATGTGGATGCCTCTTATTTCTTGTCTGACTGCTATGGCTAGAACTTCTAGACTATGTTGAATAAAAGTAGTGAGAGTGGACATCCTTGTCTTTTTTCTGATCTTAGGGGAAAAGCTCTCAATTTTTCACCATTGAGGATGATCTTAGCTGTGGGTTTTTCACATATGGCCTTTATTATGTTTGGGTTTAGAAGGAACATACCTCTTTTGTTGAGAATCTTTATCCTGAATGGAATCTTGTCAAATGCTTTTTATACATCTGTTGAGATGGTTATAGGATTTTTATCCTTCATTTTGTTAGAATACTGATTTCTGGATGAAAATCTACTCTGACCTATGGTTTTTATTTTTTGACATTTTATCTGGAAGTAATTTCAAGATTTTAGAAAAATTCCAAGAGTAGTACAATGGAAAATACTCTCCTATATCCTTTACCCATATTCACCAGTTGTTAACTTTACCCTATTTGCTTTATAATTCTCTCAATATTTCTCTATATTCATATATTCATGTATCTGTGTATATATACATGTATTGTGTATGTGCATATGTGTGCATATGCATGTGTACGTGTGTGTATATACATATTTTTTCTAAAATATTTGGGAGTAAGCCTCATACATTATGCCCCTTTCCCCTAAATACATAAATGTCCTAAGAACAGGAAAAGTTAAGGATTTCAAAAACTTTAATACAGTAATTTTCTTAAAAAGTTAAATATACACTATGTTTCAGCCATTCTACTCATAAGTATTTAGCCAAGATAAATAGATATATTTACAAAGATATGTACACAAAGGTTCATAGCAGCCTTAATTAGGATTCCAAAACTGAAAATAAATGCTTATAGCTAAGCTACCACCATACTCCAATTTTATCAATTGACCCAATGTCCATTATAGCACATCTTCCCTTCAGTACAGGATGCAGCTCAGGATCCCTTATTGCATTTATTTATATCACTTTATTCTCTCTTAATCTGCAATAGTTATTCAACTTTTCTTGGTCTTTCATGACCCTGGTATTTTTTTTTTTTTTTATTTGAGACGGAATGAGAGAGACAGAGAGCACATGAGAGGGGGGAGGGTCAGAGGGAGAAGCAGGCTCCCTGCTGAGCAGGGAGCCTGATGCGGGACTTGATCCCGGGACTCCAGGATCATGACCTGAGCCGAAGGCAGTCGCTTAACCAACTGAGCCACCCAGGCGCCCGTGACCCTGGTATTTTTAATAATAAAAGCACCTCCCCTAATTTTAATGGAATGATCCTCATGTTGGGTATGTCTAGTGTTTCCTCATGATAAAGTCCAACACATACATTCCCAGTCACAGTATTCATTCCCAGTCACAGTATTATGTGATGCTGTGTCTGACACACGATGTCCTTCTGATCTTCACTGGTGATACCTATTCTGACCACTCAGTTAAGTTGTTGTCTGGTTTCTCCACTGGACAGTTACCATTTTTCCTTGCTTTTTTATTTTTTTTAATTCCAGTGTAATTAACGTACAGTGTTATATTAGTTTCAGGTAACCTAGAAGAAATGGCTAAATTCCTAGAAGCATACAACCTCCCAGAACTGAATCAGAAAGAAACAGAAAATCTGAACAGACTGATTACCAGCAAGGAAACCGAATCCCAACAAAAGTCTAGAACCAGATGTCTTCATAGGTGAATTCTATCAAACATTTAAAGAAGAGTTAATGCCTCTTCTCAAACTATTTCAAGAAACAGAAGAGGAAGAAAAGCTTTCCTTCAAACTTCATTCTATGAGGTTAGCATTACCCTGATAAATGACAAAACCAAATGACACTACAAAAAAGAACTACAGGTCAATATCCCTGAAGAACATACCTATTTTCTACTTCTTATAAGCATGAACTCACTGAGTCCTAATTTTAATGGTTCATAATTCATTGTTGTCCTTAATTATATGATGCTTGTCCAAGATGTGGCAATGGGAAACCATTTTTCCTTCCGTGTGATGATGTTTTCATTTGAAACACAGTTGAGTTCATTTCTTTTTTCCCCCTCTATCTTTGACTTTTCTCCTGTCCTTATTTTCAAATATGTAAAATATGAGCGTGCTTCCCCAACTCAACTAAATTAAAAGATAAATTCATAAGTATCACACCCTCCCCTACTACTCCATCTATCCTCTTCTCCCACCCAACCCTTTTAGAAACCAACTTCATGGTTTACTGGTTCATCTGTCCCTTACTTGTTTTTGTAAAGATAAGGAGACATAGGTATGCTTTATTTCCTTTTCATTCTTACAGAGACCAGCATACTAAATACGTTGTGCACTTTGATTTCCAGGAGATACCATTAAATGAGAAAAGCATTCAGTACCAATTTTTCAAGGAAACAAAATTTTGATTAATTGGATCTTTTTCTCTACCTCATCATTTCTGCATGTATCTTTATTATTTCCTTCCTTGTGCTTTTTTGGGTTGGCTTTGTGATTTTTTTTTTCCCCCAGCTTTTAGAGTTGGGAAGTGAATTTTTTATTCTCATTGGTTTGCCAAATATTTATCCTTTTATTTTTAGGCTTTTTGAAGAACTATATTTATGTATGTCTCATATAAAAGTACAGAGTTGGGGTTTGCTTCATGAGCCAATTTGAAAAGTTCTTTGGTGAGTTAAACCCATTAAAATTTAGTGACATGACTGATATTTGGTTTCAACACTGAAATTACTTTGTTTTAATTATACATACACTATTTACTGTGTTTAATTTTTCCTTTAAAAAAAATTCTTTGTGTTGGAAAAGTTTTTCCCATTATCTTGTATCTAACTTTTTATGCCTTATTCTTTATTTAACATCTTATTAGATCTGTCAGTTTTACATGGTATCCTTTGAATCCCACCTATGAGCTATACAGTAAGCCATGATCTTATTCTACTTTCCCTTTTCTTTCCATTTTTTTTTTAAAGTTGCAAGTTTTTGCTTTGTCAACATATTACATTTATATACTATTCCCCTACCCACATCCCAACCCTGTTTTTACAGTTAATTATATGAACTGTCCACCATCAGTCCTCTTGCCCAAATTTCATCTCTCGTTTGCACAAAGTTCTCTAATCCCCAGGAAGGATGCATGTGCACACTGCACCCTTAGTTCATGGACATTAATTTCTTACAGTCTTGATACTTAAGAGAATCTTAGCTGCACATAAAATTTGTGATTCACACTTTTTTGAGTTTAACCTGTTCCTCTGTTTCCGTACTTATGTTATTCTGAGACGTCTGATGCCAGTCTTACTTTCTTGCCCTACAGGTTATTTCATCATTTTGCCTCAAGACTCAGAGGAAGTTCTCAAAATCTAGTAGTTTTACCCAGCTATGTGAAGAAGCTGAGGGTCCCAAGTCCATTTTCCATGGCACCTACTAGGTAGGCCTTTTTAACATATATATTAAGATACTGTTTTATTTCTGGTAATTTGTTATTTCTGTTTTTGATTTTTTTCCCTTCAATCAGGAACTCCAATTATACATATGTTGGGCTTCATTGCCTCTTCATTTTAACCAATTTTTTCTAACCTTTTTAACTACTTGACCCCATTTTCTGGATTACTTTCCTAATTTTCATCCATGTCCTTTATTAAATTTTCATTTGAATTTGTTTACTGTGGGGTGTTTTAGTCATAACTCCAGATATGAATTTGCCTTTTTCTTTCTTGAGTCTAAAATTCTACTTTTTTTTTCCCTTTCTTGGCCACTTCCTTTTTTAAGTTTTTGAATTTTTTTCTTAAGTAGGCTGTATGGCCAGCGTGGAGCCCAAAGTGGGGCTTGAACTCATGACCCTAAGATCAAAACCTGAGCTGAGATCAAGAGTTGAATGCTTAACCAACTGAGCTGTGCAAGGTACCCCTCAGTTTTTGAATTTTTGACCTGACTCTAAATCTTCCAATTATTCAGCCTCATGACTTAGGAGAAGTCAAAGTTCATGCAATCAAGAATGATGTCAGAGTCTTGCAAGGAAAAGGTGACAAGCTCAAAGCAAAAAACACATTTAAGACCTCACTGGGCAATTAGATATTATTGCTGGTAAATATGAAGAAATGTGGCAAAACTTTTAATATAGATTATACTGAAGATTGATGACACAAGTGGTTGCAGATATAATAAATGCTATACAAGATGTCCATTCTTGGAGGTGATTATGCTCTGCTTGAATGCTCACAGTTGTGTCTAGGGTTCACCGATCTGGAATCCGTGTCTAGATCAGCTGATCCATAGTTTTCATCAAATTTGGAAAATATTTCTTTAAATATTTGTCAGGTCCCCTTTTGGGGAACTCCAAATTGCATATATACAAAGCCACCTGTGACTGTACCACAGCTCAGTGATGTTCTGTTCACTGATTTTAAATTATATTTGTATTTCCTTTGTATAGTTACTATTGCAATGTCCTCCTATTTCTTCTGCAATATCTAACTTGTTAATCTTATCCAATGGATTTTCACCCCCAGACAATGTAGTTTTTATCTCTAGAAGTTCAGTTTCATTATACCTTTCATGTTCCTTTTTGAATAAAGGGAAGAGTTATTAAGTTGTAACTAACAGAACTGGTAGTTATAATAACTAGTTAACACTGTCATTTCTAGGGTAATTTCAATCAACTGATTTTTCTCATTATGAGTGTGTTTTCCTGCTGCTTTGTATGTCTGGTAACTTTTGACTGAATGCCAAACATTATGAACCTTTGTTGGGTTATGGATATTTTGGTATTCCTAGAAATCTTCTTGAGCTTTGTTCTTGGACGCAAAATAGTTACTTGGAAACAGTTTGTTCTTTGCGGGTATTTTAAGATCTCTTGGGCAGGACTGGAGTAGTACTTAATCCAACCTTAGCTGTTTCCCTGCTATTAAAGCAAGACACTTCTATATACTTTACCCAATACCCTATGAATCCAAGGTTTCCCAGTGGGGCTGGTAGGAACAGGTACTATACTCAGCCCTGTCTGTTGGCCACCATCCCCTCTCATCATTTTGGCTGGTTCTCTCCCCAGCCTCCAGTAGTTTCTTCATACACATGTGTACTGATCAATACTTGAAGGGAGGCCCCACAGCTCTCTGGTGTTCTCCTTCTATGCAGCTCTCCCTCTCCAGTGCTCTGTCCTGCAAATTAATGGCCTCAGTCACCCCAGGCTCTCAGCGTCATCTCTTCAACTCCAGGGTTGCCCAGGTTCCACCTAGGTTCCCCTCCCTCAGCAACTATTTATACTTCCTTAAGGCAGTTAGCTGGGGCTGTCGTAGAACTCACCTCCTATGTTTCATGTGTCTCAGGGGTCATTGTCCTTTTGACCCCTGAGACACATGAAACATAGGAGGTGAGTTCTACGACATTTCATATATTTCATATATATATATATGAAATCTAGTCCCTGTTACTCCATCTTGGCTAGGAGCAAAAGTACCCATCATAGCTTCTGAATATGAATATATATAGAATTTAAAGCCATCCTAGGATGAGAAGGACTCCTTACCTTATTAATGTATCATCATCCACAATGACCAACCATGCTATTTTGTCATGGCTGTGATTCAGAAATTTTTCCAAAATGGCAAATGTCTTTCCACAATGACCTAGGAAAGGCAAGAAGAAAACTTACAGTGTGATATTTTAAAATGCAAATATAATTCATTTTAGGGAGAGCCTGAGTGGTGCAGTTGGTTAAGCATCCAACTCTTGGTTTCAACTCGGGTCATGATCTCAGGATCATTAGATGGAGCCCCACATTGGGCTCAGTGCTCAACAGGGAGTCTGAGTTTCTTGCTCCCCCTCTGCCCCTCCCCCCCCCGCACTCTCCCTTTAAGTAAATCTTTGTTTTAAAATGAATTATATTTGTGTTTTATTTAATTTTTTTTTAAGTTTTAAAAGCTTAAATCCTGATATGTACACATAGAAATATTAAAAATTAGCCTTTTCTAATTCTCATAGACCTAGTGAAAACAGTGGGAACTTCAGAGATCATGAAGTCTAAGCCATTTATTTCACACATGGGGAAATGGGAAACCCAGAGAGAGGAGGTCACTTGTTCTAGCTCTGCCTCAGATTAGCTTAGTATCTTTGCTCCAAAGTTGTAAGCCTCCTAGAAACTATAGAAGCTTGGCACCTTTCCTTAGAACCCCAAGCATTACAACTATAGGGAAACAATGGTACACACTAGATTTTGGGTGTATTTTGGTCTGTTAGAAGAAACTGTCTCCCAAAATTTTAAAGAAAAACTTTATACATGTACGTGTGTGTGTATATATATATATATATATATATATATATATGGAATATGACTGTAAAGATAAAAATTAAAGATTTTAAAAGAGGAATTGATAAGTTGGTTGAAAAAAGGAAGAAGAAAAAAAAAAAAAGTGGTCAGGCAGGAGACTAGAACAAAGCCATACATTAGATTTAGGATATATTTTGGTCTGTTAGAAGAAACTGTATCCCAAAATTTTAAAGAAAGAAAAACATATATATAAAACATAAAGTTAAATACAATGAAGGGATAGAATATGACTGTAAAAGTGAAAATTAAAAGATTTTAAAAAAGGAATTGATAAAATATGGCTGTCCTCCAAAGCTGTATGGAAGGCTTTCAAGGAACAAAAGCTCCCGAGAGCAAACCTGAGCAGATTACTTAGCCCGGACCCGGCAAGGGCAGGGGAATTCCGCCTCCAGCAAAGACATTTAAGAATCACTGAAACAGGCCTCTCCCCCAGAGAAAGTTAATCTTTTAAATTTTTTTCTTTTTCTTTCTTTTAATTGTTCTTCTTTCCTTTTTCAACCAACATTTTTATCAATTCCTTTACAGTCATATTCCATCCCTTCATCGTATTTACCCTTATTTTTGTGTGTGTATATACATGTGTATGTATATGTATAAAGTTTTTCTTTCTTAACAGACCAAACTACACCCAAAATCTACTGTGTAGCTCTTTCTATTCCACAGCCTGATATTTTTTTTTATTTCTTTTTCCCCCTGGTTTTGGGTCTCTTCTGATTTGTTTAGTGTATATTTTTCTGGGATCATTGTTACCCTTTTAGCATTTTGTTCTCTCATTCATCTATTCTTCTCGGGATAAAATGACAAAACGTAAAAACTCATCTCAAAAAAAAAGAACAAGAGACAGTACCGACTGCCAGAGACCTAATCAATATGGACATTAGTAAGATGTCTGAACCAGAGTTCAGAATGACAATTACAAAGCTACTAGCTGGGATTGAAAAAAGCATAGAAGATACTACAGAATCCCTTTCTGGAGTAATAAAAGAACTAAAATCTAACCAAGTCTAAATCAAAATGGCTATTAATGAGGTGCAATCAAAAATGGAGGCTCTAACTACTAGGATAAACAAGGCAGAAGAGAGAATCAGTCATATAGAAGACCAAATGATGGAGAATAAAGAAGCTGAGAAAAAGAGAGAACTGCTGGATCATGAGGGCAGAATTCGAGAGAGAAGTGATACAGTAAGATGAAACAATATTAGAATACTTGGGATCCCAAAAGAAGAAGAAAAAGAGAGAGGGGTAGAAGGTCTATTGGAGCAAATTATAGCAGAGAACTTCCCTAATTTGGGGAAGGAAACAGGCATCACAATCCAGGAGACACAGATAAACCCCCTCAAAATGAATAAAAATAGGTCAATACCCTGACACCTAATAGTAAAATTACAAGTCTCAGAGACAACGAGAAAATCCTGAAAGCAGCTCGGGACAAGAGGTCTGTAACCTACAACAGTAGAAACATTAGATTGGCAGCAGACCTATCCACAGAGACCTGGCAGGCCAGAAAGGACGGGCATGATGTATTCAGGGCACTAAATGAGAAAAATATGCAGGCAAGAATACTATATCTAGCTAGGCTGTCATTGAAAATAGAAGAAGAGATAAAAAGCTTCCAGAAAAAACAAAAAGAATTTGGGAAAACCAAACCAGCCCTACAAGAAATCCTGAAAGGGGTCCTCTAAGCAAAGAGAGAGCCTAAAAGTAACATAGACCAGAAAGGAACACAGACAATACACAATAACAGTCACCTTACAGGCAATACAATGGAACTAAATTCATATCTTTCAATAGTTACCATGAATGTAAATGGGCTAAATGCCCCAATCAAAAGACACAGAGTAACAGACTGTATATAAAAACAAGACCCATCAATATGCTGTCTGCAAGAGACTCATTTTTAGACCCAAAGACACCTCCAGATTTAAAATGAGGGGGTGGAAAACCATTTACCATGCTAATGGACATCAAAAGAAAGCTGGGGTGGCAATCCTTGTATCAGACAAATTAGATTTTAAACCAAAGACTGTAATAAGAGATGAGGAAGGACACTATATCATTCTTAAAGGGTATATCCAGCAAGAAGATCTAACAATTTTAAATATCTATGCCCCTAACATGGAAGCAGCCAATTATATAAGCCAATTAATAATAAAATCAAAGAAACACAGTGATAATAATAGTAGGGGACTTTAACATCCCCCTCACTGAAATGGACAGATCATCTAAGCAAAAGATCAACAAGGAAATAAAGGCTTTAAATGACACACTGGACCAGATGGACTGCACAGATAGATATATCCAGAATATTCCATCCCAAAGCAACAGAACACACATTCTTCTCTAGTGCACATGGAACATTCTCCAGAATAGATCACATCCTGGATCACAATCAGGTCTCAACCGGTACCAAAAGATTGGGATCATTCCCTGCATATTTTCAGACCACAATGCTTTGAAACTAGAACTCAATCACAAGAGGAAAGTTGGAAAGCACTCAAATACATGGAGGCTAAAGAGCATCCAATAAAGAATGAATGGGTCAACCAGGAAGTTAAAGAAGAATTTTTTAAAAATCATGAAAACAGGGCGCCTGGGTGGCTCAGTTGTTAAGCGTCTGCCTTCAGCTCAGGTCATGATCCCAGGGTCCTGGGATCGAGTCCCACATTGGGCTCCCTGCTCGGCGGGAAGCCTGCTTCTCCCTCTCCCACTCCTCCTGCTTGTGTTCCTGCTCTCACTATCTCTCTCTCTGTCAAATAAATAAATAAAATCTTTAAAAAAAAAAAATCATGAAAACAAATGAAAGTGAAAACACAACTGTACAAAATCTTTGGGATGCAGCAAATGCGGTCCTAAGAGGAAAGTATATAGCAATACAAGCCTTTCTTAAGAAACAAGAAAGGTCTCAAATACACAACCTAACCCTGCACCTAAAGGAGCTGGACAAAGAACAGCAAATAAAGCCTAAACCCAGCAGGAGAAGAGAAATAATAAAGATCAGAGCAGAAGTCAATGAAATAGAAACCAAAAGAACAGTAGAACAGATCAACGAAATTAGGAGCTGGTTCTTTGAAAGAACTAACAAGATTGATAAACCCCTGGCCAGACTTATCAAAAAGAAAAGAGAAAGGACCCAAATAAATAAAATCATGGATGAAAGAGGAGAGATCACAACCAACACCAATGAAAGACAAACAATTATAAGAACATATTTGAGCAACTATATGCCAGGAAATTAGATAATCTGGAAGAAATGGATGCATTCCTAGAGACATAAACTACCAAAACTGAACAGGAAGAAATAGGAAGCCTGAACAGACCCATAACCACTAAGGATATTGAAGCAGTAATCAAAAATCTCCCAACAAACAAGAGCCCAGGGCCAGATGGCTTCCCAGGGGAATTCTACCAAATATTTAAAGAAGGGGTGACTGGGTGGCTCCGTCGTTGAGCATCTGCCTTCGGCTCAGGTCATGATCCCAAGGTCCTGGGATCGAGCCCTGCATCAGGCTCCCTGCTCCGCGGGAAGCCTGCTTCTCCCTCTCCCTCTCCCCCTGCTTGTGTTCCCTCTCTGTGTCTCTGTCAAATAAATAAATAAAATCTTTAAAAAGAAAAAAAAAAAAAAGAATACCTATTTTTCTGAAACTGTTCCAAAAAATAGAAATGGAAGGAAAACTTCAAACTCATTTTATGAGGCCAGCATTACATTGATCCCAAAACCAGACAAAGACCCCACCAAAAAGAACTACAGACCAATATCCCTGATGAACATGGATGCAAAAATTCTCACCAAAATACTAGCCAATAGGATCCAACAGTACATTAAAAGGGTTATTCACCACGACCAAGTGGGATTTATTCCTGGGCTGCAAGGTTAGCTCAATGTCCACAAATCAATCAATGTGATACAATACATTAATAAAAGAACAAGAACCATATGATCTTCTCAAAAGATGCAGAAAAAGCATTTTACAAAGTACAGCATCCTTTCTTGATTAA